TTAAATAAGAGTTGTACCAGACTAAATCAAAAATTTTGTGGTTACCCTAAGCCCGGGATACGTCTACTAACTTCGATCTCAATTTTTCACTATATCAAAATAATAGATTTACAACAATTCTCCCCAAAATAATTTTCATCAAAATATCAAATATTCACCACTCAAAAATGGGTATTAACAAAAGTAACGAGAATAGATCTCATCTAGTAAATCTTGTAAAATATCAATCTAAGAAGGCTTTCAACAAAATAATTTGATCAATGTGTTGTCCCCGCTGCTGCGAACAACATACTAAAATTTTATCAAATACGATGGACATTGAATGCCTGCCCGAATTTTGGATCGACGTGTTCTACGAGAACAATTGTTTTCTCCTGTCCTCAGTTTCGTCACCAAGCCACCGCTTATGGAAGACTAAATGTGTTCTTATTTCATGTGGTCCCAAGTGTGCCATGTTGCACCACAGCCCCTTTTTTTTTTTTTTTTTACAAAAAATTGTGAGTAAGTATCTTGTGAAGAACTTTTTTGTGAGAAAAGACCTTGAAAAAAATTGTTGTAAATAAGTACCAATGGGTTAAAATGTATTGTAGAGATATACACAACGACAATTTTTTTATTCTTCACTTTATTATAATACATTTTTCCTATTTTTATGGTGTTTGTATTTTGACAGTTTCTTTTTATATAAAGATTTGGTTTTATTGATAGGCAGTTTCCGAATTTGGAAGATATCCTTTTTTTTTTTTTTGAATTTTGAATTTTGAACGTCTAAATCATCCAAAAATGACACAAGATCTAAACAAAAGCAATGTTTGTTTTGAAGCTAAGGTCATCATCATCTTCAATGTGACATTACAGTGGCACATGACAGTGCAACACTTTCATCAATACTTTAATCACTGACAAAATGTTGTGAAATTATATCTACTTACACAATCAAAAGAGTATGCATCACTTAATGTAACATCACAAATTGGCATTCATATATATTACTTTTAATGAATTGTAGTGTTTCATCATAGTATAACAATATAAAGTGACACTAGTTTTAGCTAACTAATGGAGAGATTTTATACTATAATTTATAGTTAAATAGAGGGAAAAGGAATTCTAGATAGGGTCAATTATAAACAAACGTAAGGAAGATAAATTATAGCTATGTGAGAAAGATTTTTGGACAAGGAAATTAAAACTATGTGAGAGAGATTTTAGGAAATAGAAAGAAGATGTTGTTTAAAATTCAAATTCATTGTCTCACTAAAATAAGAAACTCTTAATTCATTTTTAGAGGACTGTGATTTGTGTATGTTTGAAAACTGAAGAAATTCGAGGAGTTTTGTTCAAATTTTGAAAAATTTAGTTTTTGGGTCTTGATTAGTGGCCATATTTTGTGAAGATGGTGAATAAAATATAGTGGTTCCAAAGACAGACAAACATCTGTTTAGTTACCTCTGTGAGTGTTTTTGGGACCCAAAAAAAAAAACAAAAGAGGACTTCTCCCCAAAATATTTTAACCGAAGGAATTTTTTGCAAACAAATCCTATATAGAGTATTGGCCTACAATAAAAACCCTTTTTTTATTTGCTTTTACTAAACTAAAGGGTTTGGACTCTTCATTAGTTGGGCTAGACCCAACTCAACACTCTAAAGTCAACGTTGGCCTAGTTCACAAACCTCTTCTCAAGGCCATCAATATTAGATTATGGATATAATCTCATTATACTTTTAATCCTCAGAATGGTTAAAAAACTTTCTTAATCTCTCACGCATATTTGCATACACCGATCTCCTATTCAAACTATTTGAGGCAAAGGAAAATGATATTTAGACTTAAAAAATTGACATAATTTGCTGACCTAATAATGTGACTTCATTGAAACCATTGGATAAATAACAAGTTTCAATGTTTGATGGAGCTCACAGTAAATTTAAAAGTTATAGTGAATTAGGTCCCAATAGCATTGCTCTTGAGGCAAAACCATGGTACCATCACGTGATTTTTGTGGTTCAAAATAAAAATGTGGTGAAGTGGTTGAATCCGGACCTTTAGGTCGGTCGAACTGGCTAATGACTCCTTTCATGCACCAAGAGGTGCAATGTTCAAATCCTGTATCACCATGTAATAACTTGACCAAAAAAAAAGAGGCTAAAGCCTTTGTTTGATGTAATGCAATGGGGAGGATGACTTGCATGGGTGATTGATGCTACTTGTTGGCAGCGTTGTAAAATTACAAATTAGATATCCACAAGGACTAATTTGGTATAGTACATCATAAAAACAAGCATATATACTGAATTAGAAGTGATGATCTTCAAGCTATTGTTGATAGTTTATTTTTGGTTCATGTTTGCGTTGGCTTCGTTTTCTTCCCTTCTCTTTACACTACGTTCCCGCACCATCTCCATAATTTTGGTCACCCTAAGGTGTAAAATCATTAATCTATTGCTCTATATTATAAGAATATTTAACTTGTTATGAGTCGTTCGTAATACACTTACATTGTGTTTGGTACATGATATTGTTTTTATATGAAAATGGAATGAACGTAGAAATAAAATAAAATATACATTATCATTCCAATATTTAATAACAACTAGGTTTAAATGCTGGAATATAATTAAAAATTCACTCAAATATTTGAATAATCCCTAGACTCAAACCCAGACCTAGACTTGATCTTTGACCCTAGACTTAGACCCGACCCCAGACACGAGCCCAGACCTGAACCTGGACCTGGACTTTAACCAGACCCCGAACCAGTCCCGACATGGACTTGAGCCCAAGTGGTGGTGGTGGTTGAACTGAAAAATACCACAAAATATTAAGAAATGACAACTTTCATTCTCATGTTTCATTATTACCAACCAAACGCAACGTGATGTTATAAATGTGTGTTTTGTGAAAACAAAATGAATTATAATCCAATTAGTTCTATCAACTAGAAATAGGGGATTGATACAAACCAAAATTTGGCTAAGCCTCAACATTTAGTTCATGAACCATGACCGACCACGCTCGATTCTTTCAAACCAAACACCACATGACAACTCGATAGTCCTTGTGGTAGGTAGGTCTGTGGGCCGTATTGTTGCCCGTCAGCCCGCAAAAAAGGGTCTGATTATAGGCCTATAAAAAAATAATTTGAAAATGGGTTGAATCTAAAAAAAATTAGGAGAATTTAAAAGCCAGTACAATTTTTTAAATTTATTTGGGCAAAAGTACAAGTCAAAAACTTATTTGAGATAAAGTGCATATTATTTAAAAATGTCACTATTACCATCGGTAAACAACAAATGGATGAAAACCCTTTTTTTTTGTGGCTACAATCAAGTAATGGGAGGTAAAATTAGGGCATATTTTTTTAATAATTTCTCTCTCTCAACCCCTATTTTCTTTTATTTTATTTATATTAATACTACAACAACACAATTACATTAATCAGTTACAATTGTCATAGAATACACAGAACAGTTATTCATGCGTTATAATAAATCAAACAGTTACACAAAATTATGACATCAACTCAATTTGTCATTCAGTTGTTTACATAAACTAAATAGTTACATCATTTAGTATTGTAGCATCATTACACCATCATACCTTAACAATTGCATAAGACTGTGATTGTTACACCCATTAAAAAATAGTTACACCCATTAAAAAAACAGTTACACTTATTAAAAAATAGTTACATCCATTAAAAAATAGTTACACACATTAAACAACTGTTCCACCCATTAAAAAAAACAAATAAGTTCTTTTTTTCCTATATCCCAACAACGAACAATACATAATATCTAACAAAACATTTTGACAGATTCTCTTTTTTTTTTTGGGGGGGGGGAAAAAAATTCAGGGTTTGATCAATCATTATAGTAAAAAAACTTTATTTCTTTCGGTCAGATGACGTGGAAGCAAGGTTGGTGGCATGTGACGAATATATATATATGTGTGTGTGTGTGTGTGTGTGTGTGTGTGTGTGTAAAGTGAAACAAACTGATATATATATATATTTCACTTATATTTTGCACTCATATTCCTTCATCTTTATTTTCTAGCACGAAATACCTCTGTTTTTACTTTCTCTTGCTCTCTATAAACTCCTATTTTACCTCTCATTGTTATTGTTAATCTTTACATATTTGTTTTCTCAAATAATTGTCAATAATTAATGCATAAATTAAGGAAGGGTGTTTAAGTAAAAAAGATTTTAATTCATTATGAATTTTGTATTAAACACAAAAAGTTTTATAAAAATTGTACTTAATAGAATAAATAACTTATTCATACACTTTTACTCAAATAAGTCTAAAAAATTATATCCACACCCAAAAAAACCCAATAAATTAAGAAAAAGATAAGCATATTAAAGTTGGTTTGTTGGGCAAGTGCGTGCCGTATTTTTCTAGATGGTGTAGCTCAATACGACCTATTGTTCAATTAAGAGCCCGGTACGCCAACTGGGCCAAGTGGGCCTGACCTAATGTTGACTCTTAGATATAAAGTTTTTTTACAAAGTGATTGTTTTGGATTTGGGCCAATTGTATCTTGCACCCTGAATGATTTAAGAATTCTCGTTTTGCACTCTTAAAGATTAAATTTCTTATATCACACACTGTATTAAAAATGTTGCAATGTGGTTATTCTGTTGCTCATTTCGTCAACATTAGTAGAATAATTTTTGATTGAATAAGTAACAGAAGTTAACAGAAGAGCCAGTTTGCAACACTTTTAATTAGACGTAGATAACAGAAATATGTGAGATTTGGTTTTCACTTAGCTTATAAATATTGTATGAACATCCACATTTTTTTTCATTAGTTATTTCATAAATATTTGAGATTTGGTTTCTCACTTTGTTTAAACCTTGCCAACTTTATTTTTTGTTCTGTAACCTCTATCAAGTATAGACTTGGTATGAATAGCAAGAAAACTAGGATCCAACCAAGATCATGAAAAGCTCACTTCCATGCTTTTTTTTTTTTGGGTTTGGAGCCAGGATTTGCAGGAGAGTTATGTCAGAGAGACACTGACCAGTGGTTTTTCTTTGTCCCTCGGCAAGAGAGAGAAGCCCATGGAGGAAGGCCTAATCGGCTCACGACTACCGGATATTGGAAAGCCACTGGTTCTCTGGGCTATGTATACTCGAATAATGGAATAATTGGAGTGAAGAGAACCATGGTTTTCTGCAGAGGAAGAGTTCCAGGCGGAAGAAAGACTGAGTGGAAGATGAATGAGTGTAGAGCCATTGAAGCAGAAGCTTCTTCATCAAGTAATGCAACTCCACCAAAGGTAAAATATATATAGTTGATTTGGGACAGTGGAAGTGTTTAAAACACTAGCTATCTATTTTACAGTTTAAGTGTAAATTTTAGATGGTGATAGCAAAATCTCATTCAGGATATCTTCTATCTATTTAATCTTATTACTTTCTCATATCATGTAGTTAAGGTAAGAAATCAGTTTGTGTGAGTCTACTTAAAATCGACAAGCTTACCAGCATGCAGCAGACCACAACCCATCAGAAGTAGTGAGAAGTGAACAGTTTCACCAACCTCGTCATGGTAATGAGGCAACATCTCATCAATACCAGCAATTGACAGAGATCAAAATAATCCCACCAAATCATAACGCGTCGTCGG